ACAAAAACATCATACAACAATATGAGTCAACTCATGTCCTCCTGATAATGATACAGTATATATCACAATATAGTACCACTGCTGTAAGTGTAATCACTTATTAGTTTAAGTTTCTTATTCAGCATTACGTTTATGAAGTATACTTTTCCTATAATCATTTTTCTCCATGCTATTCTATTTTGTTTCTTATATCATTAGTCTGGCTGAGATTTTTTTTTAGATGGTGCTGTATAATTGCTGTGTTGTTTGCTAGTGTTTTGGTGCATGTTAACATATATACATGATGTACACAAAAAAAACCTCACAAATCTATCTTTGTAAATTAATATTTTAATAGGATCCTTTCATTTTATTATTATATTTATGCATATACAATATTTTCTATTTTAGTCAGTACTGAAGAAAAACTCTGGAGCTAATCTAACAAAACTAAAAATTGGGTATAAAAATTTATATATTTATATATATATATATATATATATATATATTTATATATATATATAAATGTTTAAATTGTGAAATTTTATTTTATTTTGCAATATTTCACTTGACTTCAAATTTATTATCTTTCTACTTCTAAAGATGTTTGGTGACAAAAATACTATTTTTTATAAATTGATGTTTAACCTGTTTTGTTCAAATACACCAAAATATAAGATCTATATTCACTTAGAAATGGATAAAAACATACATTTTCAAAACTTATTACCTACAAAAGTATTTAGAAATGGATATTTTCAAAATAGGATATACTCATTTACGTATGCTGAACACTGTATACTCTCTTCAACATGAGATCATATTTCTTACTTTTTTGATCCTCAGGGAAATAGTTTTCTTAAAAATCGAGTAATATATAATAACTATTAATAAAATAGAACCCCCTTTTCCAAAACTAACGATTAAATGCTCAATATATATATATATATATATATATATATATATATATATATATATATATATATATTAGGGATGTAACGGTATCAGAATTTCACGGTACGGTAATACCTCGGTATGAATGTCACGGTACGGTATTTATTGAATCATTTACAGGAAAAAAAAAAACTTTTGAAAATACTCCAAAAAAGTGCCAAAAGTGTCAATGACATACAAATTAGCCATCTATCTGTTAGCTTTGAAACAGGAACTTCAATTTTAATAAAAAAAAATTATTAAACCATGTAAAAAAAAATAAAGTTTCAATTTAGTATTGTTGAAAACTCATCACATTTAACATTTAATCACTCACTTAGATAGAGATGGGTTTAAAGGAAAATTATCATATAACTATAATCTGGTAACTTAAAAGCTGGTATCTCTGGGTATTTACAATGTCCCCTGCAACAGAAAAAAACCCTCTCATTTGGGACTGAGGATTCTGGGACAAGAGAGATATGACTTGGCCCATGTTGACAGCAGTGGGGTAACGTTGTGCATTGTCTTTCCCCCACTTGAGAGGACAAACCATGAGTGAGATAGAGATCTCTTTGCGGTACAAGTCAATGTCTGCATCAATCTGAACAGTGTGCTGTGTTTCTGCAGTCCCCATGACTGTTATTAGTCGTATTCCCCAACTTGCAGGCACGTGCACACATAGGGCTCAACCTGTGCAGTGTACATGCCCTTTTTAGTCTTGGATAGAAAATGCCCTTCCAAAACGATCAAAAGTGCCCCCGCGACGCGACACAACCTCCGTCCAGTCCAGCCCTTCAGTAGGCGCCCGACAACACCTCTCTTGAGTATGCGCGCTCAAACCCCCTCGGCGCTTTACAATACGCGCGCCACAACACAGCTGATCAGAACGCGCGCGACAGCACCGCTATTCAGCACGCGCGCGGCGACAACACCCGCTTTAGGTTCGATCATTTCCATCTTTTTTTCATCTCCGCTACTAGCAGCACACTCCATTTCCGCATTACTGGATCTGTAGCGACAACAGACCGCAAAGGATTATGGCCACGCCGGGGCTGATGGGAAATGAAGTTTCAGCTACCTCCCGTTCGCTTCATTCGCCTGAGCAAATTTTCTCAGAAGACCTATAGTTTTACCGAGTCATGCGACTTCGGTAATATCGAAAAAATTTAATATTGCGGTATGACGGTATTTACAATACCGTTACATCCCTAATATATATATATATATATATATATATTTTTTTTTTTTTTTAAATACTCCTAAATAAAATACAAAAATGTACACATTGTACTTTCAAGACTACAAATTCCTCACAATGCTGTTAATTATGTTTCTGTATACCTGTAATGGTGTGTAAGATTGTACTTATGTAATTTATGAAGAAGTATTCACATGAACAATGCTGTGACATAACTAAAAAGATAGCACATAACATAAAACGACAGATCCATACGATATATATATAGTCATATTACAGAGCCCTATAAGGTGATATGTTTTAACCTGTCAGACTCAAATGAATTTATGCACAAACCACAGTAGGCATGGGATGATAACCAGTTTCAAGGTTTACCGTGGTTTGAAAATATCAAGGTTTAAAAATAAAAAAATACATTATAAAATAAATAAATTCCAAAAAAAAAAAAATCAATAATAATGTTAATAATAATAAAAAAAAAGAGTAAAAAAAAAAAAATATATATATATTAGGGATGTAACGGTATTGTAAATACCGTCATACCGCAATATTAATTTTTTTCGATATTACCGAAGTCGCATGACTCGGTAAAACTATAGGTCTTCTGAGAAAATTTGCTCAGGCGAATGAAGCGAACGGGAGGTAACGAAAACTACAATTGCCATCAGCCCATGCTTGTCCATCATCCCTTGCGGTCTGTTGTTGCTACAGATCCAGTAATGCGGAAATGGAGTGTGCTGCTAGAAGCGGGGATGAAAAGAGCTGGAAAACTCTAAAGCAGGTCGCACACCAGAAGCGCCGCTCGGCGCCGCGACACGGCGCGTACATGACAGATTAAAGTATCGCACACCAGACGCGCACATTCGAATGATATTTAACATGAAACTAATCAGATGGCGCTCTGTGGCGCGGCTGAAAAATGAACTGCGTCCTGAGCCGTCGCCGGGCGCCGCCGACAGCCGCCGACTTGCGGCGCCGGTGTGTGTATCCTGATAGAAACCTATGATTAGAATTCTAAAATACGTGGCGCTGCGCGGCGCGCCGCCGAGCGTCGCTTCTGGTGTGCGACCTGCTTCAGTTTGATATGGAAAAGCAGATTATACCGAGGACACGGGTAAATCTTCAAAGGGAACAGTGTACTTTATAACTTCATTCACATCACCCTGGCTTCGTTGTTTCACTTTCTCAACAATAAAATGTAAACATGATTTAAGGAACTGCCTATTTTTATTTTAATATTAGCAACTTAGACAGCAGAAATGTTGAGGCGCCGTGCTGCATGAGCGTTATCACTGTGTGGATATTTATAACAAAACGGAGCCGATAACAACTGCCTCCTTTCAACTTCAGTGAAAATCCGAAACACAGCCTCTCTTTTGCTGAGTATCAGTTTTAAGAATCGATAATGGCCATTTTAAAAGTATAACATACAATAAGTTTTTACATTATAGGAAATAAAGGCGATCAGTCAATATACAGAATGTACGTGGTTACATTAATCATTAACTTATCTTTGCGCTCAGCCAAAACACGTTACCTGAGAACAAGTAATAGATTCCAATGCCCAAAGTCAGGGAATATGTCGTTAGATAAAGACAACAAGATAAATGAAATATCCCGTTTAATAAATATAGTGAGATTAGATCCAGCGGGAGATGCTTGATTAGAAGTCCGACTAGCAGAGCTCTCATCTGGGTAGATGGGCTGAGTGTGATTAAATGTTGAATGTGATGAGTTTTCAACAATACTAAATTGAAACTTTATTTTTTTACATGGTTTAATAATTTTTTTTTATTAAAATTGAAGTTCCTGTTTCAAAGCTTACAGATAGATGGCTAATTTGTATGTCATTGACACTTTTGGCACTTTTTTGGAGTATTTTCATAAGTTTTGTTTTTTCCTGTAAATGATTCAATAAATACCGTACCGTGACATTCATACCGAGGTATTACCGTACCGCGAAATTCTGATACCGTTACATCCCTAATATATATATATATATATATATATATATAAAAAATTAAAAATAATAAATAAAAATCGCAAAAATGTTGTGTTATAGCATTCTTAAGGTATACGTAAAGGTTTTTTTTGTGTTTGTTTTTATGTGTTGTAAAGAAATCTTTGTTTTTTAAAACTAATGAAGATGGCAGAATATTAATTTTAATTATTTAGCCTGACATGTTTATGATTCCAAAATATTATAAATGTTTCATAAAATGAAATATACAGTGCTCAGCATTTAAGTTTTGAAAATGAATATTTTTATCCATTTCTCAGTGAATATGGGTAATATATATTGGTGCATTTGAACAAAACAGATTTATTAAACAGATATATTTATTAAAATAATATTTTAGTCACAAAACAGCTTTAGAAATGGAAAGATAATGCATTTAAATTCATGAATATGGCAAAAAGAAAAACTACATCATTTAAACAAATTTGTATATATTTTTTGTTTCTCTTGTTCTCTTTGTTTTTTGTTTCTCTCTCTTATTTTTGAAAATTGTATTTAATATTTTCCCTATAATATAAATTTGGGCTACTACCTTTTGAACCATTATTGTAGGATATTTTGTTAGATAAGCTCCAGATTTGGCTTCAGTACTGACTAAACTAAAGTAAATGCACAAATATTGTAAAGCATCCTATAGAAAATATTCATTTAAATGAGAGATTTGTGGGGGCGTACTCATATATGCTGAGCAATATATATTGTGGAAAAAAAGTTGGTTTTTACTTAGCCACTTAAAAATAACTTACTTTAGAGCAGTAATCACAATACCATGATACTTTTATCCAAGGTTATGAGAAACTCATATCGGCCCATGCCTAAACCAGAGAGATAAATGAATGCACAAAAGCTGCATCTCTTGTTACTCACATATGCACGTGCGGCGGCTGAAAGCGGCTCTGGTTAATGTTGTAGTGTGTGAAGGCCTGTGTGGGGTTGGAGCTGTACTCGTCCACCGAGATGGTCACTTTGCCTTGTGTCGGCATACCGTGGGCCATTCTCTCTCCACGTGACACATGAGACTCTTCACCAGGACCCTGGAGCGACCCACGCAGTCAGCATCCTTCAGAACCGCCACTTAAACACGCAAAAGAACCCTTGAAAGAGCCGAGGAGGATGACGAGATGCTATCTGTGAAGAAAAGAGTAACAGGAAAAGATTATGATGTGAAATCAATTGCATGAAAGCACTTATTGAGACAAATCAAAGGCAAAGTACAGACACGAAAATAATCAAACACTCAAAACACTAATATTTTTGCTTCTTGTTCAAACTATTTATTTAAAATGAGCCAAGTCAATAATTCTTGTGTTTTTATTTGGGAAAACTCAACTGTTTTATGTTCAATCCACTTAAATGTGTACAATTAAGTTAACATTATCGATTCGTGTTGGGACAACATGAAAGAATTGTGTGGAACCCAGCATTTCTGACAGTCAGTAACTACTGGAAAATCTGATTGGTGTAAAAGATTTCATTGTGGAAAGTCTAGTAGCTACCTTAAAGGGCACCTATAGTGAAAAATCTACTTTTCAAGTTGTTTGGACAGACATGTGTGTAGGTATAGTGTATAGAGCGTCATATTGGGGTGATTTAAACACACCCAGTGCTTTTTTTTTTTCAATTTAACAACACAAAAACAGTGGACCAATTGGAGTGGTTTTCAGATCGACCGCAACTTGATGTAGGAGTTTCGGTCCCCCCACCCACCGAATTGATTGACAGCTGCATATTAACATGTCCCAGTAGTCACGTGTATAATCATATCAACAAGAGAGGGCAGGCGCAAAGCAAATGGGAATAAAAGGTCTGTTCAGTTTACAAAGATCAACAATCATCATCAAATGTGATCAAGGAGAGTGAGTTTTACAAGTTTAAAATGTTTTAAAAACAGTGCATGTGTGTAATGAATTACAGCGATTTACTGATACTTTACTTTCACCACAGCTGCATGTCAGAACAATTATAAAAGAACACGCTTCAATCCCGGTTTGTGGATGTTAAATCGGGTTTATTTCGGACATTAGCATAAAAGATATCCATACGGCAGTGGAGATTAAACTGTATCCTGTCACATTTGCGTGCAAAGAGTGCAAAGCTAAACGTGCGCGCTGTCTGTCTGTCTGTCTGTCTGTCTGTGTGTGTGTGTGTGTGTGTGTGTGTGTGTGTGTGTGTGTGTGTGTGTGTGTGCGCGTGTGTCTGCTGCGCTGTGTGTGTGTGAAGTAGACACGTAGCAACAGTGGGCGAGGAGGACTAGGCTTAAAGGCGCAGTACAACAAAACAGCCTCCTGGTGCAAAAATGTATAAAATAGAAACTTATTAAAAAATCTGATGGGTGTTTTGAGCTGAAACTTTACAGACACATTCTGGAGACACAAAAGATTCATTTTAAATATGAAAAAAGGGGTAACCTAGGTGCCCTTTAATAATTATTATTTTATTATAATATGCTGTTTACCTCACAAACGTAAGAAGTTTAAATGTTCGATTGTAAAAATATATTTTACACTGTAAAAAATGCTGGGTTCCACTTAATTCCTCCATGTTGTCCCAACACAAATTGATTAAGTTAACTTCATTATTTTTACAATTGTAAGTGAATTGAACATAAAACAATTAAGTTGTGCCCAAAAAACCCCAACAATTTTGTTGATTCAGCTCATTTTAATTAAGTAAATTGGACAAATAGCAAAGGTGTATTATGTTGTATCAATATAGCCTACATTTTTGCCTTGGATACATTTATTTATTGCCACATCAGCAACTTATGGCTATTTCATTGCAAGATAAATATACATAAAAACATTACATGATGAGAACAACTTCATATTTCAATAAGAAATATACATAAACAAATACAAAGAGAAATAAATAAATAAAATTCATAAAAAAACTATAGTAAAAGTCAAATATTACTTTTTAATTCAATATTTGATAACTTAACATCTGTCCTGATGACTTTTATACATTAACATTTGTTCTGCTTAAGCTGCTGATTTACTTATATTAAACAACATCTTTGACTTGAATATTCTACATTATGAAAAATAAAAATGGTTACCTAATAAAACTGTATTTTACAACTATTAGAATATTTCTTACATATTAATAAAAAAAATTCCTTCAGGGATATTTTATAATATTTGTTATTCACATTGTAAGTGTATGATTAAAAACCAGACAGTCTAATCTTACAATGATGCACCGTTCACTATTATAGCTTATCCGAAACACAGTCACAACATACACAAAAACTTTAAACTTAGCATTTGTTTTGATTAACCTGCTGATTTTCTCATATCAAACAACGTCTTTAACTTGAATAATTCACATTATTAAACACAAAAATATTGGTTACCTAATAAAATCGTTTCATTATTTACAATTTCAAGAATATTTCTTTCATATTATTAAAATAATAGTACTTTTGGGGATACTTTGTGATATTTGTTATTCACATTGTAAGTGTAAGATTAAAAACCAGATCTGATGTGCCGATCACAAGTATAAGTTGTCCGAAACACATTGTCAGCATGCACAAAAACTGTAGTTATAAACTTTATCAAAACTTAAACTTGGCTAATAAGAGATGAAAAATAAGAAAGCATAAAGACACACAAAAAACGAACATCAAAATAAAAGCAAAAGTGTTGAAGACAAAAAAATAGCAAAAGCCGAGAAGCAGAAAGATGAGCAGCAAGCATGGAGAGATTTAACAATACTGACCGCTGAACTTCATCTAACCCGCTCAAAACATCTTGTTCATTATCTTTACTGTACAAACCAAGTGTTGCTGTATCTTTGCATTTTATTCTTTTAAAACTTGAAAAAATGAGCATGTAAAAAAAGTGATCATGTGCTCAATGATAAAATAAAATTATATGGCAAAGCAGTTGCATTGATCATTTTTTACGTTTTAAATACGTGGTGTAATAATCAATGATATTTCACATAAATACCTGCAACAGAGCTTTTCGGGTTTCTAGTTTACTGTTCTGAATTAGGCTTCGACAACTTACTAGACATCAGATAACAAGGCAAGATCCACATTGCACATCAAAAAAAATATATATATATATATATATTAATAAAATAAAGTTACATTAGTTTCACCATGGTACCAACGACAGTCTATGAGCCAGGCGAGTATAAATTCTCGTTCACCAAAATGAAACATTTAAATACGAACAGGAACGAATTTAACATTTTCATGTGATGTAAATTAATTCTGGTATTTCCTGTAGTTTCATGTATGCAATAATTAGTCAATATATTTAACAGACGAATAATTTATGAGTCTTGTTTAACTGTGCTCTCTGCAATATTCCTGCAGCTTAATATTATTTTGCAACAAGTCATTTTTATAAACTAACAGACTGCAGCAAAATTAATGCAAACTACTTAAATCTACTTACTGTACTACCAAGCCTACATACAATCAACATGCATGAGGAAAATACGTTTTATTTAAAAATACTAAAGTTATTAGTTTAATTACTTTTTAAAACAAACAATTTAGAGTATTTTTACTTCATGCATCTCTCAGGTTTAAGTGTCTGTTACTTCACATCAAACTATTTACTGTATTTTGTTCTGTAGATTTATACATGCAAGAATTAGTAAATATATTTAACAGATAAATAATTTGAGTTTTGTTTTGCGCTCTTTAATATTCCTGCAGCTTAATATTATTTTGCAACAAGTCATTTTTATAAACTAACTGACTGCAGCAAAATCAATCAATATTGTACTTAAATCTACTTACTGTACTATCAAGCCTACATACAATCAACATGCATGAGAAAAATACATTTCATTACAGTTAAAAATACTAAATGTTATTAGATTAATGACTTTTTTAAATTACTTTTTAAATTTTAGAGTACTTTTACTTAATGCATCTCCCAGGTTTACTAAGTTTTTGTTATTTCACGTCAAACTAATTAATGTAATTTTCAAATTCCTCAACAAACAATAAACTAGTTTAGTTTAATATAAATAGACAAAATGCTCATTTTTTTGTTGTTGCACAAAACAATATTCATTACTCCTCGTATTCTGCACGAAAAGAAAATCGCTTTCCTCACCTCAGCTAGCTAGCACCCACTAGCTTTAGCTGCGTAAAAAACCTGCCGTTCCGTTTAATATCTAACATCCATAAACCCGCGTGATATTTATTTGCGCTCAACTCCGCTGCTTCCGCCTGAACAATGCGAGGGAAGAACGATCAAAAAATAAAGCCTGGAAATCACGTTTCAAGAGGGCACTCACACACTCTTCCGAGAGAACGCACAAGAGATCAAGTTCAACCTCCATCACCTCAAAATCGCCGACATGTCGTTTTAAAACCAGGCAAAAAAGTAGCGCGTAAATGTCTAGCGCGCACGCCGCGGAGGGTGATCGTTCCCCGGGTGAGTGGCCGCGCTGACACCGCCGCTCAATGACAAGCCACCTCTAACCCTTTTGTGTCTTATTTTTTTCTCCCCTTTCGCTCCCTGTCTAAGCCTACATTTCCAAACGCACAAGAAGAGGTCGAAAAGCCCCCTCTTTTTCCTCTCGCCCACCTCTAAAGATGTTGCTCCATACACGCCGGGGAATGCAGATGTCGGTAGCCGAAGAGGTGGCACTCGGAGCCGGGCAGGGGCAGGACCCTCGACCCTGGGAGACCCTCCGGCGAGCTGGCGGGAAGAGCAGCGCTGGCAGGCGGCGAATCTCGCACTGACTGGCGGAGAGGGGGAGTGAGTCTAGACCGCAGTCGAGGAAGAAAGGACTGCCACTGGGGTCAGAGAGCAGCGACGAGAGCATAGCCTCCGTACTAGCATGGCGGAGCGAGTATGTATGTGCGTGTGTATGAATGTGTGTGTGTGTGTTACTCCTCCCCTCCCAAAGAAGAGTCTGCCATGATATGCGTTCACACGTGGAGAGAAGAGATCCTCTTTTCTAATGCTTATTCTCCACTCTTTTTTCTTTGTTTTTGGGTGTTGCATTGATTTAATAATCAGACATGCGAGTGTCTCTGTTTTAGGGAGGCTTCAAGATTTGGTTGGTCTTTGTCAAAAATCAAGTGCATGTTTGCAAAGTTTTCTGATTGAATAGGTCTTGTTTTCATACACTGGGTGAAGTCAGGTCAAATGGGCCACTTTTTGGGGGAATTGAATACAGAGTGGATTTCTAGTTTTTTGAGTGTTCAGTGAAGTCTAAGATTATTTTAGGTTGAAAGTATGCAACAAAAAAAAAAAGCTGAAGAGGTATTTCACTACTCATATGTTGGTGATAAAAATGAGCTTGAGAATCTGCTGAAAGAAAAGTGTGAATCGAATGCTCTTTTCATTTGATTTAGTTTATGCTGTGACTGTACAGGAAATGTTTGTGCATGCCAAGTAATCAGACTAAAAATGTTGAGTTTAGACCTATGGTTTAGACTTACTCAACTATTTTAAATTAAATTGTTTCACATGATTTTAATTATTATTTTGATTTTGATCAAATAAATGCAGCTTGGTGAGCATAATACATTTATTTAAAAATAATTAATTATTTAATAAAACAAAGTAAATTTTAAAATGTATTCAGATAGAAAACATATTTTTAATTATAATATTTTACAAGATTTTATTTTTGATCTAATAAATGCAACTTAGTGAGCATAAGACACTTAATAATAATAATAATAATTAATTAAAAATAATGAAACTGTAGTATGCATGTGTGCGTACTCCTCCCCTCCCAAAGAAGAGTGTGTCATGATTCACTCATGGAGAGAAGAGATCCTCTTTGCTAATGCTTATTCTCCAGACTTTTTTCCTAGCAGTGTTCTTTGTTTTTGGGTGTTGCACTGATTTAATAATCAGACCTGCGAGTGTCTCGAGGAAGTGATCGTTTTGAAGGAGGCTTCATGATTTTGTTGCTCTTTTCAAAAATCAAGTGCATGTTTGCAAAGTTTTCTGTGTTAAGATTTAGTGAATAGGTCTTGCTTTCATACACTGGGTGAAGTCAGGTCAAATGGGCCACTTTTGTGGTAAATTGGATTTCTACATAGTTTATTGAGTGTTCATTGAGGTCTGGGTTCATTTTTGGTTGAAAATATGTAACAAAAAAGCTCAAGAGGTATTTCAGTAGTATGTTGGTGATAAAATGAGCTTGAGAATCTGCTGAAAGAAAAGTGTGAATCGAATGCTCTTTTCATTTGATTTAGTTTATGCCGTGACTTTACAGGAAATGTTTGTGCATGCCAAGTAATCAGATTAAAAATGTTGAGTTTAGACCTATGGTTCAGACTGACTCAAATATTTTAAATTAAATTGTTTCACATGATTTTAATTATTATTTTGATTTTGATCAAATATAAGACATTCATTTAAAAATAATTAATTATTTAATAAAACAAAGTAAATTTTAAAATGTATTCAGACAGAAAACATATTTTTAATTATAATATTTCACAAGATTTTATTTTTGATCTAATAAATGCAACTTAGTAAGCATAAGACACTTAATAATAATAATAATAATAATTAATGAATTAAAAATAATGAAACTGTAGTATGCATGTGTGCGTACTCCTCCCCTCCCAAAGAAGAGTGTGTCATGATTCACACATGGAGAGATGAGATCCTCTTTTCTAATCAGATTAAAAATGTTGAGTTCAGACCTATGGTTCAGACTGACTCAAATATTTTAAATTAAAATCTTTCACAAGATTTTGATTATTATCTAAATTTTGATTAAATAAATGCAGCTTGGTGAGCACAAGATATTTATTTAAGAATAAGAATTATTTAATAAAACAAAGTAAACAATTATATAACAAATGTATTTAAATAGAAAGCAAATAGTTTTCATGTTATTATTTCTCAAGATTTTATTTTTGATTAATAAATGCAACTTGATGAGCATAAGACACTTATTATTGATAACAAAAAATGAATAAATTTTTTTTAAATACTAATGTAACAACAATATGTGTGTGAATGTGTGTTAGTCCTCCTCTCCCAAGGAAGAGTCTGCCATAAAATGCGTTCCCAAATGGAGAGAAGAGATCCTCTTTGCTAATGCTTATTCTCCAGTCTTTTTTCCTTGCAGTGTTCTTTGTTTTTGGGTGTTGCATTAATTTAATAATCAGACCTGCGAGTGTCTCGAGGAAGTGATCGTTTTGAAGGAGGCTTCATGATTTTGTTGCTCTTTGTCGAAAATCAAGTGCATGTTTGCAAAGTTTTCTGATTTAGTGAATAGGTCTTGCTTTCATGGGTGAAGTCAGGTCAAATGGGCCACTTTTGTGGTAAATTGTATAAAGACTGGATTTCTATATACTTCATTGCGTGTTAAGTGAGGTTTGTGATCATTTTAGGTTGAAAATATGTAACAAATCTAAAGAGCTAAAAAAAGCTCAAGAGGTGTTTCAGTACTTGTTGGTGTTAAAATGAGCTAAAGAATTTGCTAAAAAGAAAAGTGTGAATCGAATGCTCTTTTCATTTAGATTTAGTTTATGATGTGACATTACAGCAAATGCTTGTGCATGCCAAGTAATCAGATTAAAAATGTATGTGAGTTTAAAAATGTCCAGGTCAGACTAAATCAATTAGAATTGTGGATGCCAGAAAAAGAACAATAAATAAGTATATAGTACACACACATATAATCAAATAAAAGCATTACTGCAAAAACGCAACCGAATCGCTTAGTGTGTTTAGGTTTGTGAAACAAAAGTAGTGTAGCTCTAAAAAATACCTACAGTTGAAGTCAGAATCATTAGCCCCCCTTTGATTTTTTGATTTTCTTTTTTTAATATTTCCCTAATGATGTTAAACAGAGCAAGGAAATTTTCAGAGTACGTCTGATAATATTTTTTCTTCTGGAGAAAGTCTTATTTGTTTAAGTTTGGTTAGAATAAAAGCAGTTATAATTTTTTAAAGGTCAAAATTATTATTAAACAGGGGGGCTAATAATTCTGACTTCAACTGTAAATAGTATTATTTTTTCATCAGGCTAGACCAGGGTGCCCGAACTTTATCATATAAAGGGATATCATATAATTTCATATCATATTCATAAATTATTTAATAATATTTAAAAATGAATAAAAAACATTACTAATCGTATTACCTAATGCAGTGAAACTTTTCGAATGATATCTTATTGCAATAAAAACAACAGTGGAGTTCAATGCTTTGACTTAATTTGCTCATCAAAGCCTCTGCATTCTCTTCTATCAATCAGGAATGTGCATTTAAACAAAATCTGATTCATTTACAATATTTAATTGAAACAATTTCAATTAGCTTTTAACAATAAAACAAACAAAAGATTACATTACATTACATTTAAAAAGACAATCTCTAAAGAGTCCTCCCTCTCTTCTCAGATGGCATGGCGGGCCTTTGTTCGGCCATCTCTGGTCTAGACATTGTATGTTACAATCAGGGTATTGAAATAATTTATTTAAAGAGTTTTGATAAAGGAAACAATGAAAAAGTATTCAAGTTTTGATGATTTAAATCATAAATGTAAATATAACTGTTTAATTATGTGTAAATATTCAACCAAACAATTGAACAATTGTTGTATTTGGTATGCAGGAGATTTTATATTGATAAAACAATATGTGAAAACAAAAAATCAGTTCACACATATCAAATACTGTCATGGAAAATGTTTAAAATCATTTGATTGGATATTTATTTTTAAAAGTAAATCAAGCTCAAATCCCACTATAGGCCTTTTTTACCTGGCATCAACCCGTTCACATTAATGCTCATGAATAAATTAATAGTTAATATGGTTTTTAAAAAAATCATCAGGGCTAATTCATGACAAAAATCTGCACAAAGCTTCCTTATGATGCATGACTTTGTGTTCAGAGTTTTTTAACGGAGGGAAAAAGGGTATTGTCTCTCTGCTGTGCATTACTGTGAAGTGTTGCATGCGAGATGGATCTCTGAAATGTGGGACTTTTCACTCACGTTTCAATTTTCACAAACCCACACACAACTAAGCGACATTTCTATTTGACTTTTCTCTTATCTGCGGAAAATGTGTTTTCATCGACTAGCCAGCGGGCAATAATGTGAAGGCAGAGAAGGAATTTTATTCGCGGAGGCCGCCGTTAAACACTGCACCATCATTTGTTCCCCTGCCGCACCAACGAGAGAGAGAGAGAGTGATGATAGATACAGCTTCAAATGTCACTGAAGAAATGGCCTCTGACATGAATGTTTTATTCAGTCGCCTTCCCCTGATCACATCTATACAATAGAAAATGTAAATGTTATGCAGAATGCTTCAAAAATTCACTATATATTTTATGACCTTCTATAAAAGAGGGGCAAAACGACTCCATGAAAATGGAAATGGAATAAAAGCCATATTAACCGGGAGGGTGAGATAGATTCTGTGACGAGTGGAGGGTGATTTTCACTTAACCCAAATCTAGTAGCAGGGGCACAAGACGCTTCCGGATAGATAGAAGCATGTGCACACTCACACATACACACACACACAGATTTTTGTTGCTGACACATATTTTCACACTTAGAATTAGGAAATCAAGACTATAGAAGAGGAACATATAATTGGATTTATATAATATTGAGCTGCATGTCTGACTGACTTGATCCTTCCTCAAAAAAATTCTTAACATGTCAAAAGTTCAAGTTTGAAATTCTTAACAAAAACATGTAGGCGTGTGATATTTAGAATAAATACATTAACATTTTAATTAATAATAATTAATCTTATTGTAAATATAGTAATCAGTTTAATAATTAATCTTA